TTTGAGACGGAGTTTCACTCATGTTACCCAGGCTGGAGTGCAATGGCGCGATCTCGGCTCACCGCAACCTCCGCCTCCTGGGTTCAGGCAATTCTCCTGCCTCAGCCTCCTGAGTAGCTGGGATTACAGGCACGCACCACCATGCCCAGCTAATTTTTTGTATTTTTAGTAGAGATGGGGTTTCACCATGTTGACCAGGATGGTCTCGATCTCTTGACCTCGTGATCCACCCGCCTCGGCCTCCCAAAGTGCTGGGATTACAGGCTTGAGCCATCGCGCCCGGCCTTAAAATAACATTTTTAAATATCGAGAGTTAACATTTAGGAGTCAGGCATGGTGGCTCACGCCTGTAATCCAAGCACTTTGGAGGCCAAGGTGGGCGGATCACCTGAGGTCAGGAGTTCAAGATCAGCCTGACCAACATGGTGAAACCCTGCCTTTATAAAAAAATAAAAAAAAAATTAGCTGAGTATGGTGAAGCATGCCTATAGTTCCAGCTACGCAGGAGGCTGAGGTGGGAGGATCACTTGAGTCTGGGAAGTAGAGGTTGCAGTGAGCTGAGAAGGCACCACTGCACTCCAGCCTGGGTGACAGAGTGAGACCCTGTCTCAAAAAACTAAAGTGAGAATGAAAAATTTAAATAGTTAACATTTAACTATTTCATCTATATCCCTTTAAGTTTATTCAAGTTTGCCAAAAAGCTTTCTTTTGGTGAGCTTTTATTGGAGATAATGGGAGATTACATTGTAATTAGGGTTTATGCAAATAGGTTTTTTCAAATTAGAATATAGTCCTGCATGTGTAGAAATATCATAATGTTCAGTATTGGTGATGAGTCAAATTAACTTTGAAAGGAAGATGACATTATTATGTATATAATTCACTTTATTAAAGTGAATTTCAAATAAAACAAATGCTGTTTGGTTAAGTTTGGTGGGGGTTGATCTTTATGGTAGATATATAATGTAAAAAACTGTTTTTAAATGATACATCAAATTAGAACTCTCTCCTTTACCCCATTCCCTGATTTCAGTTGCCATTGGGCCATCCTTCTGCGTGGTATCTGGGCTGTGTGGTCTAGGCGATGGCATTTTTCTGGTTCATAGAAAATGCTGGTATTTCAAATATAAATGCAGATGTCCAGTCATGTCTTCCCATTTATTTTGCTTTCTGATGTTCTTTTTCTCTTAAGAAACCATGTAATTATTTCTCTATGTAATTATTCTAATGAGTTACAAGTAGTCCCAAATTATGTATTTCCTTGAAATGTTTATGCAGAAGAAATCATTCTCTACCCAAGTTCCTCAGGGAAGATACCACATCACTGAGAAAGAACTTCTCTTTGAACAAGAACATGCTCCAAGAAGATACATGAAGTGGTGATTATATAAAACAGGGAACATTTAAACACAAATTTTCTAGCCTAGTTACCTCTATGACACAACAGACAAAATACATGCATGTAGTCTTATCTTCAGAGTTTCCCTACCAGGGAAACTTTCACCAAAATCAGAAGCAATTGCACCAGTCTAAAGAGCGTTTCTTGTAAAGGAGTCAAACTTGTGAACCATAGCATGTAAAGAAAAATAATGTGAATATTATTATTGCCTTTTATTAAAATAAACAAGCGGAGATGCATACAAAATAGGTAATAGGCTATAAACTGAAGCATGAGTTTCAGTCAAAGTGGGGATTTAGGTGCATGTGAGTTTCATGCAAGTGGCCTTTAGGTGCTTCCAAGTCCACCTAGCCTGAAGAATATAATGACACTCGAGGAAAGGAAATCATTCAGTGAATAGCATCTAGGGTCTAACAGGTGGAACTAAATGTGCCCAAACACTGGTAGTGTGTTTTTCCAGGGGATCTGGGTAACAACTAACATCAGTTGCTGCAGTGTCGTATGCCTGCAGCAGCTAATATAATGCTGCGTATTCAATAGATGGTTAATAAGTGCAAATTAAACCAGTAAGTGTCTTGTCAATGTAGCTTTGGAAAGCTGCAGAAGGGATAGTGAAAACATGGGTGGGACTTGGGATTTTTTTTAAAACCATATCCTTACATTCTTTCTCATTATACAGATATTTCTGTAGTGGAAACCATGGAAATGTGAAATTTATAGAATTACAGGCATCTAGGAGAAAATAGACCAGTATATTAAATTGAATAAAATGTATGCCGCTGGAAAGATTATCCTGGAGTATTTATCAATAGCGTGGGTGTCAATTCTCATGCTCACGTAGCTGCTTCTCTGACTTTTCCTCTGGGGGGAGCTCCTCTCTGAGGCCAAAGTCAGCTGTACCATCATCCTGTCGGGCTTCCCTCCGTTCTCTGGCATGTAGCTGTCCAAGTCGTTCACCTCCCCATCACTGTAGGTGCCATCCAGCATCACGGTGCGGGCCGGAGGTAACCCACTGGTGCAGGGCAGCTGCAGACACAGAAAACACACATTGGGCTGTGAGCTCAGCATCATCTCTCAGAAGCCCTTCAAAAGAAACCACATAGTGGAGGGCGTTGCCTTTTTCTAGTTTCTTGTATTCCTAGTTTGGGATGAGGGTAGGTATCCATTTTTGCCGATCTAAAATCTACGTACGGACTCGGGAAATATCACAATGCCATACCAAAGACCAACAAGAATGCTCATGATTCATAGATCACCCAGTTCTCCACAAGAGGACAAGCTGTTATGAACCCTTGGTAAAAATGTTTACAGATTACATTACTACAAGAGTGCTCGTGAACATGTGTGTTTGTCATGGGATGGGAATTGGCATTGTGGGGATAGTTTACTACCACACGGTTAGAGTTTGCTGGGGTAGATGACCATTGAGCTGTACACTGGAGGAGGAAATGAGAGTCAGGTGGGAGGGAAGATTACCTGGGACGTGGTGGAGGATGCATGAGGCTACATATGCGGGAAGATTTCCTAGAATGAGAAGTGTTCTTCCCCGCACAGTTCTTTTATTACACCTTTATGTTCAAAAATAATTTGTTCCACCATGTTAAACTGTCATTTATTTTTCTCCTGGGAGTTTCTCACTAAATTATGAATATCACCAAGATGTTCCCTAAGATGTAACTAAGACCTGGCCCAAGTATGTGGTCGGTGCAAAATAAATGTTTCAATGAATAAAAGATGTCACCCAAAGTCAATTTCCCAATGACTTGAAATACACCAATTTATTTGCTCTTCCCAACAACCCTGTGAAGCAGTCAGAGGAGGGGGTATCATGACCCCGTTTTACAGAGAAGGTCTGCCCTGTCCGAGGTTCCAGAGATAGATCAGGCTCCATCCTGACCAGACACTAGAAGCACATGGCAAAGTCACCTTCTCCCGCAGCTTCTGTTCCTTCCGCTCCTGCACGGTGGTCAGGTAGTTGACGGCTGCATACTCTAGCACGGAGAGGAACACGAACACAAAGCTGACCCAGAGGTAGATGTCCACGGCCTTGATGTAGGAGACGCGCGGCATGGAGGCATTCACGCCCGTGATGATGGTGGACATGGTCAGCACTGTCGTGATACCTGCAAACACATGAGTCAGAAACAAGTGTTTGCTTGTCTTTTGCCAAACATGGGATGGTTTCATGCCCCTGCTCATTTGTCCCCACTATTCCCTCAACCTAGAATATCTCCATGCCCGCTCCGCTGTTTAGCAAACACCTACACATCTTTCAAGATTTAGCTTTTCATGAAGCTCTTCCTGTTTCTCTCCCCAGCATCCCCACCCTTTCAACCCCTCTGCACAGGCTGTGTATTCATCATAGCACCTGTGTCACTATTCTTCTGCAAAGAACCCCAGACATTTTGGCATTAAAACATTTATTTCAATTCAATTTTTATAAAATAAGAGGTCGCATACATGAACGGGTATATGTTTCTTGTAACTACTGCTTCATCAAGGGGAAGAAGCCCATGAGATTAATTTTAATATCATGTCCTGGCTTTTGTTGTGCAGTCCTGTTGTCCTGGGCATGTGTCAACAGCTGTCAGGGCACCCCCAGCAGCCACCACCATGCTGGACCTGGCTGCCCATTCAGCAATGTCCACTTGAGGACTCATGGGTCAATTTCACTAAGGATGACGACGTTAACTTCATTTGTAGGAAACAGATTTTAAAACTAGGGTGTTTGTCTTTTCAGCACAGTAACTGTTCAAGCTATGGAACAACTGTTAGAGGACATGGCATCTGTCCATGGAAATTTGCCCAGGATTTCAAATTAAGCTCAGAACATTTGTTTGGCAAACATCAAATCACAGGGGATTGGGGTCATCTTAAGGGCCAGCTCCAATCCAGTTTCACTAAAATCTGGTGGGTCGCATTCTCCCCTGCAGCCCCTGAACTCTTTGAGTGATGGTGGTGTGTGTAAATGGGTATGACATTTAAGGTGAGAAAAAGAGCTGATGGCAAATAGCCATAAGTGGAATGCTTATCGAGTAGGGATTCTCAGACTTGAGTACATAGAATAATTACTGGGAGAGCTTGTTAAAAATGCAGGTTCCTGGTCCTCACTCAGAGATTCTCATTCTACAGATGCAGATGAGACCCAGGACCCTTCGTTTTTAACAATTTCCCACAGAAATTCTATAAAAAAGATCCCTTGAGCCACCATTTGAGAAACACTGTTGTGGGATATGATTCATTTTGCAGGTGAGCAAAGAAGGCACCTAAAGACCAGGCTCACCCATCCTGAAACATGGCTTCAACTAGACTAAAGGTGGGCTGTTTGGATGGGCACCTGTAGAGTCCTGGAAAGCATTTTGCTACATAGATTCCTAATTATGGGATTTTACCTACAATAAATAACTCTTGAATTTTTCCAAGTCATAACACCAAAAGGGGTATAGAACCAATTGGAAAAGAATGGTTTTATCTGGGAAGAATTATTAATACCTATATTTTCAGATGCTTGGAATATGCACTTGAGATATTTCTTACCTAAGGGGACTCTGGCAGGCACAGCTCTGCGGTCGATCCAGAAGGACACCCAGGACAGCATGACCATCAGGGTGGCCGGGAAATAAGTTTGGAGCAAGAAGAAGAAGATGTGGCGACGCAACGTGAAATTAATGTACAGACGGTTGTACCAGCCTGGGGGACACAGGAATTAAAGGCAGTACACATCATGGCTCCTTCATAAAACACATTTTATTCAGGACACTGTAAGAGCTTTAGACACTCCAATGGAATCTTACCATGCCTATATAAGGTGAAAGTGAGAAAAATCATGGAACAAAGTGTTTACACAGTAATACGCACTGCATGGGTGAATCTATCTCAAGAAACCTTTGGCCCTTATCTTGTTCACAAAGGAAACCCCTTGAAAAGATCATAAGATCATTGAAACTTTTTTTCTTTTTTGAGACAGGGTCTTGCTCTGTCACCAGGCTGGAGTGCAGTGGTGCAGTCTTGGCTCAATGCAGCCTCGAACTCCTGGGTGCAAGCAATCCTCCCACCTCACCCTTCTGAGTAGCTGGTACCACTACACCCAGCTAATTTTAAATTTTTTGGTAGAGATTGGGTCTTGCTATGTTCTCCAGGCTGGCCTCGAATTTCTGGCTTCAAGTGATCCACCCACTCCAGCCTCTCAAGTGCTGAGATTACAGGTATGAACCACCACCACACCTGGCTCATTTAAACTCCTATTTCTCCTATTACCTGGTCTAGGGCCCAGCAACCTCACTGTCACCTGGGAGTTTGTTATAAATGCAGATTCCTGGACCCCACCCCAGACCTACTTAATTGGAACATCCATTTAACAATATTCTCTGCTGGACACAGTGGCTCACACCTATAAGCCCAACACTTTGGGAGGCCAAGACGGGAGGATCGCTTGAGCCCAGGAATTAGAGGTGACAGTAAGCTATGATCGCCCCACTGCACTCCAGCCTGAGCCACAGAGTAAGACCCTGTCTCTATTAGAAAAAAAAAAAAAATGTATGTTTGTGTGTGTGTGTGTGTGTGTGTGTGTATGTGTGTGTGTATATATATATATATATATATATATATATATATATTGCTTGCACCCAGGAGTTCGAGGCTGCATTGTGCCAAGACTGCACCACTGCACTCCAGCCTGGTGACAGAGCAAGACCCTTTCTCAAAAAAAGAAAACAAGTTTACATGATCTTATGATCTTTTCAAGGGGTTCCCTTTGTGAACAAGATAAGGGCCAAAGTTTTCTTGAGTTAGATTCACCCAGGCAGTGTGTTTTACTGTATAATCACTCTGTTCCATAAGAAGCACTGATTTAAACAATCTCTTTGGGTTTCTTCATGGGGAGAAACATGCTTTAAGTTAAAAAAGAAAGTTAAACACAACATTCCATTTAGGAGCAGAGTGAACAATCACAGGTCCAGCTACATTGTAGCTCTTCTTTTGTGTTCCTTACAAGGAAAGCATACCTGGAGGAGTTAGAGAAAGTGAGGATGAAGGAAAGAAAAGGAAAAGGCCTTATATGCAGGAGATACCTAGGACTGAAAACAAGATGGATGGGGACTTGGCAATATGAACTTGGAAACTTGGCATGCTGGGTCATTATAATGCATGGGACATGTCTCTGGTTACCAGCAAGCTACTGCAGAGGGACTGTCAGAATGCTGAGGGTCAAAAGAGCAGGGGTCCTCCTGCTCTTTTGGTGATGGATAAGAAGATAAGATGTGCTGGACTGCAGTGCTATGTTGGTGCTCTCTCTTACAGATTAGAAAGACCATGGGGGGTACTTAAAAAGATTGCGCCCTCTGTGCGTCCATTGTACAAGATTTTAGCCACAGCAACTGCATGAAGATTTGAACAAAATCATCCTGAAAGATGCCTGGTGAAAAGAAGGCAAGAAGCACAATTCACAACTGCAAAGATATGGAATCAATCTGAGTGCCCATCCACAGATGAGCAGATAAAGACAATATAGTATGTACACATCATGGAATACCACTCGCCCATAAGAAAGGATGAAGTAATGTCTTTTGCAGTAACTTGTATGGAACTGGAGGCCATTATTCTAGGTGAAATAGGAAGTGAAAAGCAAATTCAACATGTTCTCACTTATAAGTGGGAGCTAAGCTGTGGGAACACAAAGGCATACATAGTGGTATAGTGCACACTGGAGACTCAGAAGTGGGGAGGGCAGGAGGAGGGCGAGGGATGAAAAACTACCCTTTGGGTATAATGTACACCACTCAGTGACAGATGTACTAAAATCTTAGACTTCACCACTATACAATTCATCCATGTAATCAAAACCCACTTGTATCAATAAAACTACTGAATTTTTTTTTTTTTTGAGATGGAGTTTCACTCTTGTTGCCCAGGCTGGAGTGCAGTAGTGCAATTTTGGCTTATCACAACATCCACCTCCCGGGTTCAGGCGATCCTCCTGCCTCAGCCTCCCGAGTAGCTGGGGATTGCAGGCATATGCCACCACACCCAGCTAATTTTGTATTTTTAGTAGAGACGGAGTTTCTCCATGTTGGTCAGGCTGGTCTCGAACCCCTGACCTCAGGTGACCCACCAACCTCGGCCTCCCAAAGTGCTGGGATTACAGGCATGAGCCATCTTGCCTGGCCTGAAATTTTTTTTTTAAAAAAGAGGCAAGAATGGAGCAAGTTAACCTCAAGCTCCCAGGAGAGAGGTCACGGACCATGACCTCAGGCAACAGGAGGGTGTGAGCCTGACCTGACCCTTGGTTCAAAAAAGGAACAACTGGGTCCACAGGGAACTGACCAGTTGTTCCTGCACTGAGACTTAGAAGAGAGTCACCAGGAGGTGCTATGCGAGCAGCATAGCAAGAGCAGGCTGGTCAAGAGTGAAGCAACCCCAAAGGGCTGGCTGGAGCAGGGAGAATGTAAATGGAGAACAACAGACCCGAATTATATTTGTTTCTCGCTGTCAAGGAGGGGGCTCGGATCAGCATATCATGGCTGAAATGCCAGTTACTAAGCTGGCAATGCGATTGTCTCAAATAAACCTACTCACGCAGCTTATGTTTTAAGTCCTTACTGATTTTTTTAGGTTATTACTCTGATGCATTGGTAGTATAAAAAAAAATCACTTCCATCTACTGCTTGCTACCCACTAGATAGATTTCACTTAGGATGTCTGTCTTTAGTTTCTTTTCTTTCTTTCTTTCTTTTTTTTTTTGAAACAGGGTCTCACTCTGTCGCCCAGGCTGGAGTGCAGTGGCGTGATCTCGGCTCACTGTAACCTCTTACTCTAGGGCTCAAGGATCTTACACCTCAGCCTTCCAGGTAGCTGGGACTACAGCGGTGAGCCACCACACTTGGCTAATTTTTGTATTTTTAGTAGAGACTGAGTCTCACCATCTTGGCCAGGCTGGTCTTGAACTCCTGAGCTCAAGCTATCCACCCACCTTGGCCTCCCAAAGTCCTGCGATAATAGGCATAAGCCACTGCACCCAGCCTCTGTCTTTAGTTTCAAATATAAGTGACACTGCTCACTTGACAACCAATTCAAACCTTTCCTATAATAGAGGGTGAACCTCGGAGGCCAAGCTGAATCTGCCCTCTCAGCCCTCACCCCGCAATTACCTGTGCTGCTGTAGAAAGCCAGTTTGGTGGTGGTGTGGAATTCCTGAATGAGGAACTGGGAGAGTGAGATTCGTTCATCTGTCTTTAAGGAGTCGTTGCCTTTTTTCCAGTACAGCATGAGGTCATCTTCTGTATAGGCATCTGAAAGACAGGAGCCAGCATCAGACACAAAGTGGTGGCAAGACAGGATGGTCTGTGGGGCTACGTGGAACATGTGTCCTGACTTCCTGCACTGACTACTGGGATTGTGGTATGATAGTTTAAAAAACAAACCACAGTCTAAACAAAGCAAAGCAATATCCCAAAAGACACATCTAAGTCTCTTTACTCTTCCAAAAGTCATCAGAGCAAAGTTCTCCACCCCAAATGCTCATAACTGCTGCAAAAGTTTCACCCTGCAATTCAGCCTGCCATTTATTAGGTTAAATCAAATGAAATTGCTCTTTTTGTAGGTCAGAAATGGTTAAATATTGGCAACATTTCATATGACTCAGCCTTATAAACTAGGAGTAATTTAGCCTTTTCCTTTCTTCTTTCAAAGTGCAGCGACTCATCAATTAATGGCAAACACCTATAAACCCTATCAGGTAATAAAGGCTGCATTTTAGCAAGAAAAGATCCATAAAGAGACAGGAGTGGGACAAGTTCCTTCTCTGTAAGACTCCAGTCACTCCTACTCAGGGTAAAGTTGAAGTGACTCCATGATCATCGCCCTTTCTGGTGCTCCATTTCTCCTCCTCTCACCTGCTTCTGGTGAACTCCCAGTGAACAAACCTACCTACAGCCTGAGCATAACTGAGGAAAAGCTTCATGGCACTGCCAGTCCAGTCTGCTTATATATAAACAGTTCCTTCCAGGAACTATTTTATTCCTGTTTTCTAACTCTTGACCTGTGTGATGGTCAGTTTCATGTGTCAACTTGGCTTGGCTATGGTACCCAATTATGCAATCAAACACTAATCTGTAAAAGTGTTTTGTAGATGTGACTAATGTCTAAAACCAGTGGACTTTAAAGGGGATTTTCCTGGATAATCTGGGTGGGCCTGATTCCATCAAGTGAAAGGTTTGAGGATAGTATGCTAAATGAAATCAGCCATTGCAAAAGACAAGTGCTGTATGATTTCACTTTTAAGAGGTACTTAGCGCAGTCAAAATTATAGAGACAGAAAGTAGAATGGTGGTTACCAGAGGCTGGGGGGAGGGGAGGTGAGGATGAGGGGTTATTGTTAAACGGGTACAGAGTTTCAGTTTGGGAAGGTGAAAAGAGTTCCAGAGACAGATGTTGGTACCACCATCATAATGGTTGTATTTATGTGGTAATGTAGTACATAAATACTACATGAAAATTTTAAAATGCTGTGCATCCAAACATTATCAACAGAGTAACATGCAACCCACAATGGGAGAATATACATTGGCAAATGATATATCCAATCAAGTTTCAAAATCCTTGTTTTTAAGGCTGAACACTCTTCCACTGTATGTATTACCACATTCTGGGTATCCATTCATTCATTGATGGACACTTGGGTTGTTTCATGTTTTAGCAATTGTGAATAAAACTGCTATAAATATGAGTATACAAGTACCTTTTCAAGACTTTGCTTTCAATTCTTTTGGTTATATATCCAGAAATGGATTTGCTGGATCATATGTTCTTGTTTTAATTTTTTTTTTTTTTTAAGAGATGGGGGTCTTGCTTTCTTACCCAGGCTGGAGTGCAGTGGTACAATCATGGCTCACTGCAGCCTCAGGCTCTTGGGCTTAAGTGATCCACCTGCCTCAGCCTCCAGAGAAGCTGGGACCACAGGTGCCAGCCACCACGCCTGACACATATTTGTATTTTTTGTAGAGACAGGGTCTTGCTATGTTGCCCAAGCTGGTCTTCAGCTTCTGGGCTTAAGTGATCCTGTTACCTCGGCCACCCACAGTGCTAGGATTACAGGTGTGAGCAACAGTGCCCAGTCATTGCTTTAATTTTTGAGGAGCTGCTCTCCGCAGTGGCTGCACCATTTTACATTCCTGTCCACGAAGTGTAAGGGTTCTAATTTATTCACAACCTCCCAGCATTGTTTTCTGTTTTGCTGACAGTATTCATCCAGTAAGTGTAACTCACTGCAGTTTTGGTTTGCAGTTTCCTAACAATTAGTGATGATGAACATATTTTCATGTGCTTCTTGGCCATTTGTGTATCTTCTTTGGAGAAATGTCTATTCAAGTCTTTTGTCCATTTTTTAAGCAAGTTATCTGTTTTGCTGTTGTTGCTGTTGTTGAGTTTTAGTTGTTCTCTTTATATTCTGGATATCAATCCCTTATCAGATAGATGATTTGCCAAAATATTCTCCCATTTGTGGGTTGCCCTTTTACTGTTTTGATAATGTCGATACACAAAATTAACAATTTTCACGCACTCTAATTTGCGTGTTTTTTCTTTTGTTGCCTGCACCAATGGTGTCTTAGGGCCTGGTTTTTAGCTTTTCCAGGACATCTGTGCAACCTTCCTGAAATCCCTTGTTATGCCTGAGAGTCTCAGCCACCACGGGAACTCACAGTGGCAATTCCCTAGGGGGCAACTATTGTCAAGCTTGTTTTGGCCAGGAAATCTTTCTTCAGCAGAAATCACATTTAGAAGAGCAATAAAACATGTAAAAAATGAGCTTTCTAGATGAATTTGCACGTGTGTCTCTCTGTGTGTGTGTGTGTGTGTGTGCTGGCGAAGGGCTTGGAAAGAGACCCATATTCACTTAGCCCTCTGCTTCCCCTCCTCAAGCAGTTATCCTGATTCGATAGAACAAAGTTTGAAGCCATTGCCACAGGGCATTAAAAAGATCAGTTATGGCAATGGAAGGTTTTAGTCCCAAATTTGTTCCTGTTACTTAAAATTACCCTAGACCTAGCTTCAATGTAAAAAATTACTTTAAAAGTATTGTCGTGAATAAGGAATACACACTGTTCCCGCAGTTGAGAGTTAGAGGTGTTCAGAATTATCAGAGGTTGTTTGCTGACCCTGGGCACAAGTCTACTCACAGCTTTCAATTTCAAGAGAGCACGTTTGTGTGTCCAAGGGAAATCGGCTAAAGTCCATGTTGCACATTGCAGTTACCGTAACCCTAGGGCCACAAAGACAAAATTGATTTATTCAGAGCCTGCAAAAGACAAGTGCAAAATCACAAAACAGGCGGAAACGGCCTCTGCTTCCTTCCAATATGATAACTGCCTCCTTCTCATACTTCAAAAGCGATGTGTCAGGATTTAGACACGTGGCTTATGAGTGACATCCTCACTGGAGTACTCTTAGGCATTTATGTTTAACCCAAGGGTCAGTGTGAGGCAAATAGAACGTCTCTGCTAACTCCTATCACATTCAATCATTCTAAAGAAGCAATGGTCTCAATCAATATAACAATGCGAAATAAAAACATTATATGGGTTTTTCTTTTTTCTTTTTTTTGAGACAGAGTCTCACACTGTTGCCCAGGCTGGAGTGCAGTGGCACAATCTCGGCTCACTGCAATCTCCGCCTCCTGGGTTCAAGCAATTCTCCTGCCTCAGCCTCCCAAGTAGCTGGGACTACAGGCTTGCACCACCATGCCCAGCTAAGTTTTTTGTATTTTTAGTAGAGACGGGGTTTCACCGTGTTGGCCAGGATGGTCTCCATCTTCTGACCTCGTGCTCCGCTCGCCTTGGCCTCCCAAAGTGCTGGGATTACAGGTGTGACCCCCCAATACCAGCCAATACAGTTTCTTAAAAGAAGCCCTGGGAGCATATATTGTTCTCCTGTTTCAGATAAATTCCAGTTCTTTTATTTATTTTAATTATATTTAATATTGTATACAATACTGTGCACACTCATGCCAGTTGCCGAGCTTGGCACTTTCTTTTTAACAATGTTGATATTTTTCAATTGATAATTGTATCTACTAGTGGACATATATGTTGTTAATGGATAATTCCTTGGAGATCAAAGTAATGGAAAAACACTGAAAGTCTTATTGTGTTAACAGGCAAGCACTTGCTGGTATTGAGTGATTTTATTTCAGAGTTTACACAGGAAAAGAGGCTTCTGTATTAAAAGCGAAACACATACAGATCATTCTTCGTAGGTGAAAGGCCTCTTATCCAGTGGGGAATTTCACAGCAGGACATGATTAACACTTGTTCGCTGGTGCTGAATGTACTACTTTTCCTTCGACCATGCAATATTTGCTATGTAAAAGCTGTGGAAATTATATGGATAATTCATGGTCAAAAAGAAAAAAAAGTCACTTTTAATTTAAATGGAAATTTCAAGGAAAAGAGCACTCTTGAAATGGAGTTATTCAAATATTTGCCTCACTTTTTCCACTGCTTTGAGGATGGGATGGTTGTATTCTATGTATGAGGCATTTTTGATGGCCAGTAGCTGGGTGGTCTTATGTCCCCTGGAAATCCGGATAAACAGGGCATGTTAGAGTATGCGGGTCAGGGGGGGGGGTCAGGCTGGCAGCTGACTCGATGCCCAATGGGGGGTATCCACTTCTATGGGTACATCATTGCATAACGATGCCCGCTGTCATCAACATGAAATAAGCTAAGAACTAACTTTGGAGACGCTGGAGCTAACTTTAGGGACATGGAATGCCCAATGCAGGAAATGTTTTGCTATGAACCAGGTGACTGAATACTCCTTCTCTTTCTGTTAGTTGGTACAGGAACAGATGTTTTCAGAATTACAGACATCATCAGAATGGGTCTTCTCACTCTGACTCGCTTCTCTCCGTATAACCTCTACATAAAACAACCATTTGTGATGTAATCAAAGCCCATGTTTATTCTTGTTTCCACAAGTTCCTTTAAATTGATTCATTGGAGAGGCTTTTCCCTGCCCTGGATGGAAACTTGGCAGGTCCCGTGACTCTTCTGCTCACTCTCATGTAATAGTCAAAACCCTCTTAAGTCACAAACCACACCTTAATTCAGAAATTAAAAGTTTCAGTCTGAGGTATTCATCAGCTTCAAAGTTCATTCAAATGAAGACTTCTGCTGTCCCTCCTCAACCAAGATAAAAAGTTGGCATTTGGGTGGTCAGTTTCTGCCCATCTCCGATCTCCTCCCACACAGGTGGAAATGTGAGGAGACAGGGAGGTGGGCATAGGACAGTTCTGTGGCTGGACAGCTTCCTGCTCTCTGGGCCTGCTACCTGGTGGAAGCTGATACTTTTTTTTTTTTTTTGAGATGGACTTTGGCTCTTGTTGCCCAGGGTGGAGTGTGGTGGCGTGATCTCAGCTCACTGCAACCTCCACCTCCTGGGTTCAGCGATTCTCCTGCCTTAGTCTTCCAAGTAGCTGGGATTACAGGCATGCACCACCATGCCCGGCTAATTTTGTATTTTTTTTAGTGGACATGTGGTTTCTCCATATGTTGGTCAGGCTGGTCTCGAACTCCTGACCTCAAGTGATCTGCCTGCCTCGGCCTACCAAAGTGCTGGGATTACAGGCTGGAGCCACCATGCCCGGCCCGGAAACTGATATTTTCTTTCCTGGCTTCCTCACTCCCATGACTGAGCACCCCCACACTGCAGGTTTCCATTCTCCAGCTCTTGGTTCACCCACCATCCACTCCCCATACACTCACAGATCAATACAGACTGATCCCACCATGGCAAAAACTTCTGGGTCTGTCCGCAGGGTGGTCAGACATCTCTTCTCTCCCACATAAATGCACAGTGTCCCAAACTGCACACTCCAAGCTCTGTGAGAGGTTCCAGTGAAGGCCTAATCATGCTCAGGAGAGCATGCCCACAAAGCTCTCCTGAGAAAATTTCATAAATCTTTCCATTCTCCCGCTGTCATTGACTCCTCTTCCTCATCTTCTTTTTTTTGTTTTTTAGACAGAGGTTTGCTCTGTTGCCCAGGCTGGAGCACAGTGGAGCAATCTCGGCTCACTGCAACCTCTGCCTCCTGGGTTCAAGCAATTCTTCTGCCTCAGCCTCCCGAGCAGCTGAGACTATAGACATGTGCCACCATGACTGGCTAATTTTTGTATTTTTAGTAGAGATGGGGTTTTTCCACGTTGGCCGGGCTAGTCTCGAACCCCTGACTTCAGATGATCCACCTGCCTCAGCCTTCCAAAGTGCTGGGATTATAGGCCTGAGCTACCACACTCGGCCTCATTGACTCTTTATATCTTGAAGTTGACTAGGGATTCAAAAGTCATGGAATTGTTTTTTTAATATTACCTCAGTAAAATCTACCAAGCGTAACAGTGCATCTCACTTGCGGATTTCAGTTTTTATTGTATGCTGGTGCCTAGGAAACTGTTCTCGTTACCCTGTTATCGAGCTCCTCCCTCTGCCCTGCTGCATTCCTCATTTGCATCCTAACCACTGGGTTCTGTGCCTGTCTCCTCCATAGCCTGCAGTCCCACAAGGGACAGTGACCTCTATCTGTGTCTTTGTGTCCCCAGAGCTTGAGTTAGAACCTGGCACAGCTTTCATTCATACAACTCCACGGGCCACTGTGGCACCCAGGAGGCTGTTAATAAGAACCTGCTGAAGTAATCAATGAGTGAATGAAGTGAGGAGATGGTAAATTAGTATGTATTTTAGGAGCTGGCCAGACAGAGTTGACATGTTTTCCTTAAAATCAATTTCAAAGTGGTGGTCTTCAGTAACTTACATCTCTCTTTTTTTTTTTTTTTCATTTAAATCAAAAAAACTCATAACTTTATTTGCAATGAGAAATCAACTCATCTGTTTTTAGGCACAGAGAGGGAAAGGAGGTGTTTTCCTGGTGAGTGAGGCTCCCTGAGGATTTTTATTCTGAACATAATAAATGATTTTCTACCTCTTTCTTGCACTCACATCCAGTAGTACACTGGACTAGTCTTCTATAGGGTTTTGGGAGCTGGTTGCTAGATTTTCAGGAAGCTTGTAAGCCAGTTGTTAAGCACAGTCATTATTAAACATCAAAATTAAATGTCACATTAAAAACATAAATAATAGCTTCCAGTTCCAAAATGGTGGCCTAGAGGCAAGCTGCTTCACTCCCTACCACAGAAAACCAAAAACAAATGTAACACGCCGAGACTTTCACCAGCAACAACCCAGAGTCCATGGATGAGGATGAGACAGTTCCCTAGGCCACAGAGAAATAGAAAAACTGAGCTGACAGCAGGAGAACTGGACTTACACATCCCTAATGCTCCTCTCTCCCTTTTTACCTGTCACCAAATGCATGGAAAATCTTCCCACAACTCATGATTTCTACACTGGAAAAAGTGAAATTGAGGTGATCAATCAGCTTCTCTACCTTCTTGGATTCCCTGGAAGGAGACTTGTTCTTGCCTTAACCCACGGAAAGCATCATGATTGACTGAAGGGAGAAATAGCCCTGAGAACAGGCAGAGACAAAGGGGAGGCAGAACTACCATCTCCAGCCTGGACGCTGTGCTCCATAACTTGGCCAAAGGAGATGCCAAATCAAAGTGGCTGTTCAGCAGTACTGCAGGAAGAACATTCTGCAGGTCCCCTGGGCACGAATCCCTCGCCAGCCTTCACACACTGCAGGGATAATCCCTTCAGGACCTCCCCCATTCAGGACAGGCAGTGCACAGACAGACCCTTTACTGGAGCAAAGCAAACCTGGGCTGTAGGTGCCACCTAGAGCCGAAAAGGAGGCAGCAATCTAGGGACAGATTCACTAAGCAAATATAGTCAATAAAAAACAAAACTAACTGGACAGAGAAAACTGGAATAAATAACTAATCCTTCAATGCAAAGACATAGATGTATACCGACAAGGAACAACTGCAAACAGGAACTATGACCTCCCCAAAAGGGGACCCCAACAAGACCATGATTTGTAACCTCTCTGACAAAAATCCAAAAGAGCAATTTTAAGGAAATGTAGTTATATGCAAAATAACACAAAAAAGCAATTCAGAAATTTATCAGAGAAATTTAACAAAGAGATTGAAATAACAACAACAATGAAAATCAAACAGAAATCCTGGACCTGAGAAATACATTTGCTGAAGTGAAGAACTCTTTAGAGGCTCTCAGCAGCAGAGTGAACCAAGCAGAAGAAAGAATCTGTGAGTTAGAAGACTGGCTATTTGAAATTATAATCAGATGAGAAAAAATAAAAAAGGAATAAAAAGGAATGAAGGTTGCCTACAAGATATGGAAAATTACCTCAAAGGACATAATATAAGAATTACTGATGTTCAAGAAAGAGCTGAGCAAGAGCAAGGAGTGGAAAGTGTATTCAAAGGAGTAATAACAGGAAACTTTCCAAAACTCAAGAAAGAGTTAAATATACAGGTATAGGAAGGTCTGAGAACACTAAACAGAATCAATGCAATTAAGACCACTTCCAGACATATAGTAATTCATCTCAAAGGTCAAGAACAAAGAGAGGATCCTAAAAGCAGCAAGATAAATAAGGCAAATAACATTAAAAAGCTCCAATTTGGCTGGTCTGAAGGTAGTGAGACATCTCAACTGATTGTTCACAGTTACAGATCGAACTCCTTGCTCTACTCTTTTCCCCCTTCTCACTACTGCACTTGACTAGTTTTAAAAACAAAAATAAAAAAAGCTCCAATTTGTCTGGCAACAGACTTCCAAATGGAAACCATTCTGGCCGGGAGGAAGTAGAAGAACATTTTCAAAGTGCTCAAAGAAAAAAACTGCAAGAATGTTGTATCCAACCAAATTTTCCTTTGAATATAAAGGAGAGATGAAGTCTTTTCCAGACAAACAAAAGCTGAGAGAATTCACTATTACCAGACTTATCTTGTAAAAACAAAAGTAATAAATATCACTTCCTAATTATTTCACTACATGTTATCATTATCTATATTCTTGAAGCTGTTTACACTTCCTGCATCTGCATGGTAGAAATACTGCATAATGGTGTGCTGTCATGAATTTCTTCCTAATTCTGGATTTAGTGACATCAAGTTGGGAGCCTGAAATCAGCCAGGATGTGAGTATTTACACTACAGAAATCAGCAAACTGCCACTGAGTTGTGTTGTTGTATTGGTAGTTTTTGAGCCTTAAGATGCCTTGAAAACCTGCCTCAGGAGGCCAGGTGTGATGGCTCACACCTATAATCCCTGCCCTTTGGAAGGCTAAGGTGGGAGGATGGCTTCAGCTCAGGAGTTCAAGACCAGCATGAGCAACATAGGGACATTCTGTTTTTACAAAAATATGGTTTTTTTAGAAAAGTATCTGGATATAGTGGCACATGCCTTTGGTCCCAGCCACCTGGGAGGCAGAAGTCAGATTACTGCTTGGGTCTGGGAAGTTGAGGCCGCAGCAAAACCATGATCATGCCACAGTACTCCAGCTTGGGCAACAGAACAAAACTCTGAAAAAAAAGAAAGAAAGAAAAAGAGAGAGAGAAAGAGAAAGAAAGAGAAAGAAGAGGGAGAGAGAAAGAAAGAGAGAAAGAGAAAGAAAGGAAGATAAAGAAAAAAAGGAAGGGAGGGAGGGAGGGAGGGAAGGGAAGTAAACAGAAGGGAAGGGGAGAATAAAAAGAAAAAGGAAAGGAAAGCAAAAGAAAGAAAAAGAGAAAAGAAAACCTGCCTCAGAAATGCAGACCTCAGGGCGAACCAGTTCAACATGGTTTGGGGAAGGGTTGCACATCCTGGACCCGCCTGAGTACTTCTTACAGGAGGAAGCATTTTAAACCTTAAAGATGAAAACCCCACAACCCCACTCTGTGTCAGGTACCTAATTACCTAGGTTCCAGGCCAGAATGAATATGGAGGGATCATTATAAATATTCCTTTGGGCAATGGGGCCAGAAATTCAGCTTCAACATTGCAACCTCTTATTCTATAGGTCTACTGTGTAACCATCCCTGAACCTTCTATTTATACATTGATGTGTGGATTCATCTTTACCATTCATCAACACAGAAGCCAAAGCAAAGTCCATGAAACTGGAATGCACCCTCCACACAGCACAAGAGGAGCACCCCACAGCAAGTGAACACATCCCTTCTCTGTGAAGGCCTGCTGCTCATCTCCATGTGCCTCCTAGGGAGGTGAATACCATGAGTTTCTGAAGCTTCTGTGCAGCCTGAAAACCACACTGCAGAGCTGTGTTTAAGGAAAGCTTCCCTGAGCCAGTGCTTAATGAGCAAGCAAACATTTCTGAAGTATCTGAATTGGCGAGAAGATTTTATTCTTTATATTTTAAAAGTGATGTTCAGAATGGCACTTCAAGTCATCAAGTAGCCCCGGGTCCCCGTGGTTTCTCAAGTAGGACACTATGGAGAGAAAGGAGGGAAAATATGCCTGTGGTGGCCAGATGAAGCAAAAGAACTTTTTTTTAAAACCAAAGTTCTAAAATGTTCCCAAAAGATGGGAATCAGAGACATTGCAGGAGGTAAGTCCTTGAGAACACATTATCTATTTCTCTGACTCCTACTGGAGAAATAAACTTTTTTATTATTGAAATATAATATATAGAATAGTATTAGCTTTAGAAATTGCCCCAAATGTATTTTCAAGGCTGAATATACCTTTTAGATTTCTACTCATGTATAAAGTGGATGTTGAGAAGCTGACAGCTACTGAAAAGTTAGGAAGTAGACATTCAGAGCCAAAAATCCAAATTGCTGTTGTGAAACCAATGCTTTTCTTGGTTAAGATGAACGATCTGCCTTTCTTCCTACCTGAGACTGTAGAGCACTTTCCCATCGGGCTGGACCCGCAACATGACGTTGTCTGTGGTGGTGTCATGGATGAAGGAGCGTTTGGAGTGCACAAAAAACATGTCAGGGACCCAGATCTTCTTCACCAGCCGGCCATCAAATGTCATGCTGAGGTTGTTGGTGCTTGGAAAAGACAGCCTCTCGTCCTTCCAGTAGTGCCTCAGGTAGAGGGTCATCGTAAAGTCCTAGGGGGCAGAGGGGCATAGAAGGAACCCCAGACACACAAACCCACTGAGGTGTGGATTCTGTAGTCCCTGTGGAGCCATCACTTGGCTGGGGAATGAAACTGGGTCAGATGAGGTCTTGTGAGTCCCTGGAGTTTGCTGCAGTAGGAGGAAGAGAACGCTGTGGGGGAAGAACTCAGCTAGAAGCCTGGAGCAGACAGTGTGAGTGTGCCTGGCCCTGCCCCAAGCTCCTGGCATTCACTCTACACTCGAGAGGCTGCTACTGTCGCCATGTGTAACTCAAGCCACAAGTGCCAGAAAGTTAATGCCTACAAGCAGCACTCAACCAGAGAGAAGGCGGTGGATAAATACCCCAGCTCCTGCACCCCTGAGTTGGATAACCCTGAAGTGTGCTCTTCACTGACTCCCAGAGTACCCCAGTGGCACTGAGTTCTATGTTTCTACGACTGAGTTTTATACCAGTTCCACAGCAACCGGTTTGATAGCACGGTCCTCTTTGCTTCCTTCTCTTCCTCTGTCCCTTCCCCACTCTGTTCTGGTGTTTCCCAGGATCACTTCCTATATAAACTACTTATACTTGTGAATGCTTCCCTCAGGTCTGCTTCTTGGGGGACCCAAACTAAGACAGGTCCCTAAAACGTCCTGTAAGTCAAGGACTTGGAGGATGTTGCACTTTTTATCTGAATTCACCAAAAAGGGGCAGGGGGTGGGGGCAGGGAAAAGGACACTCTTTTGCTTCTTTTGCATTTCCACAACCAGGTACAGAATCCACAGGAGTAAGATGTGTCTGACTACTTGGCAGCTGCAAACTTGGGCCCTGCTGCTTACATTTGAGAGCCTTTGTCCAGAAAATGCATCCCAGGGGCAAGAGCCTGGGCACTGGAGTGGGAAAGGTCAGGCTTGTTATCTGGCTCTGTTTCATACCACTTGGGTGGCTGTGGGCAAATCTTGAGCCATCTGTAAAAAGACTGTGGGGATTCCCACCGCCCAGGGCAGTTGTCAGACTAATTGAATTCAGGTGCGTAGAACTCCTGGCCTAGGACAGGCTTTGTGAAACCCCCTGCCGTGGCTCTGGTCAGAGAAGCACTTACCATGTCAACCTCTGAGATGCTATCCAAACTCTCCACCTGCACATCCACACCAACAGGAATGGCAGGGCCTGGGGACAGAGCGTGACAAGAGCATTCACTATTTTTACTCGAACTTATAGTATGGAGAAAATAGGCAAAATGAGCATTTCCCCTGGAACCTCAATGTCATGTTGGACTTGGAGGTTTGGTGACGCCAACCTGAAGTCAAGCCAGAGATCAAAGCATGGTATCATAGGCTGGCTTTCTGAAATATTTCAATGAAAGTCTGGAAACATCCTTTCTTGGTTATATATGCTCCTCTGAAGGTATGATGAAGGCCTAGGTCAAAGGCTGGGTCTGATCTAAGAGTAACTGACTTCTTAGCACGAGGTCACCCACATTATTCTCTAGATTTGCCTTCTGGTTTTGCATGCTCTTTCATCCTGGAAGCCAGCATCTCTCGTCTGGCCACGAGAAAGGCATTGTTTGGTGATAGGCACTCAGAACTGAAGTCATATTCAGATCATTTGCCAGACCCACAGACCTGCATCTTTACAACATGATGGAGTATCTTCAGGGAAGGGAGGATGCCTGTTTAAGGACGGCTTTAAAGCATTCAATTTTTTGTTATTTCTGGGCCATGCAGACTCAATACTGATAAAGAATAAGGAAGCATAATAAAGGGAATTGATTCCTGCCCCCTTTCTTCCCTGCTGTCAGGATGAAGGGCAGGCATGGAGCACACGGAATCATTATGGAGTGAAAAGGTGGGTTTGGATTCAACAATGGTGGATTATGGACTGGATAGAGACTCTGTTCTACAGCCTATTTATTCCTTGGGCAAAAGTGACTGGAAGAAATAAAAGGTATGAGAATGATTTCTTTTTAAAAAAATTTTTTTGGAGACAGAGGCTCACTCTGTTGCCCAGGCAGGAGTGCAGTGGTGTGATCTCAGCTCACTGCAACCTCCGCCTCCTGGGTTCAAGCAGTTCTGATACCTCAGCCTCCTGAATAGCTGGGACTATAGGTGCACACCACCACAGCTGGCTAATTTTTGTATTTTTAGTAGAGACAGGGTTTCACCATGTTGCTCAGGCTGTTCTCAAACTCCTGAGCTCAGTCAATCCGCCCGCCTCAGCCTCCCAAAGCGTTAGGATTTCAGGCATGAGACACCATGCCCAGCTAAGTCTGATTTCTAAAATAAATATTTCTTTTCCAGGAAAATAAACCCATAAGGATGAAAACTCCTTGACCGTAAGAAGGCTGAAACCCAGCAGCTGCAGGCTAAGCTTCAAAGGGCTTTGCCATTCTTCTGCACCAAATCATTATTCTCTCAAGCTATTTTCATTTAGTTAAAACGAGTGGACCACCCTCTGCCCAAGGATATGCACCCTGAACTCTGTCTGCCAGCTCCCAGATGACAACAAATATAATCCAAGGTCGTTATTTCAGAGCATTTTTAGGAAGCCGCATTGGGCGGTGGCTGCCCTGCGTTCCCCTGCCCTTCCTGCAGCCAGCTGCTGGCCTCCCTCACCATAAGCCATCCTTGTCAGGGGCAGTAGCCATCCAGCCGCAGATACCTCCTGAGACTGTTCAGCAGAACCCAGGGCTGGGCAAGGCAGATGCTCAGAATGTTCCGTGGGCTCCATGTCTTGTCCACCAAGCACAACCGAGGCAGACCAGGGCAGGGGAGAGCAAAGCTGTGCTGTCCCTTGGCTGAATTTCCTGTCCACAGACAGAGGACCAGAAGGAAGAGGACACCCCGCCAGCGTACATCCCATACCTCCGAAACCAGGCCTCATGCTGAAATCATGATCATCTATCCTCAAAAGCTGTTCCGACTTTGTCAGAGGTGATTTGGTGATGTCAGGGCTTCGTTTCAGAATTGGGCTGTCAAAGGGGAAGAAACCAGGTTGATTATATATTCTAGCCAAGCCACATAAAAAAGAACTTGCATTCTGACTTGATCTGGATAGGTGTGACGGGGTGTGCTATTTCTTCTTTTAAGCTATTAGACATCCCCTCTTCCTTTCTCCATCTTTCTGGATAAATGAACTGACCCAGAAGGTCTAAGACATTGGTTTTGACCATGACTGTGGAGCTTTAAAAATACTGATGCCCAGGCCCCACCTCAGAGATGCTGATTCGAACAGTCTAAGAATAGGGTCTGGAAATTGGTATTTTTAAAGCTTACCAGATGATTTGAATGCATAACCGAGACTGAAAATTGCTGGTTCCACTCTTAGCCCAAATTCCCTTAAAGTGTCTTAGCTTTTTGGGGGGTTTTGAGCTGGAGAGGAGAGCTAGTGAGTATGGTCCAAGCCTGGCATCCCAACCTCTCTTGGCCCGCTGTGGAGGGAGTGGGGCCTTACGCTCGAGTGCAATGCCAACTATCCTGTCTGCATGGAAGGAAAGTTGGCATCCTCCTACTGCTGCTTCTGAACTGCACCTGGGGCCATTTGCATTTACTTTCACTTTTTCTCAATTGGTAACATACTTTTAGCATTTGCCAATTAAAAAAAAAAAAGAAACATAGTGAAGACTCAGCATCTCCCTTCTGCTTCCACCCACCCTGCCCCTACCTAGCCCTCAGCCACAGGTGTTTTGCTTTTTTTTCTTTGAGGCAAGAGTCTCATTCTGTCACCTAGGCTGGAGTGCAGTGCTATGATCTCGACTCACTGCAACCTCTGCCTCCCAGGTTCAAGTGATTCTCGTGCCTTGGCCTCCCAAGCAGCTGAGATTACAGCCGGCCGCCACCACGCCCAGCTAAGTTTTATATTTTTAGCAGAGATGTGGGGTTCGCCATGTTGGCCAAGTTAGTCTCAAACTCCTGGCCTCAAGTGATCCACCCCCCTCAGCCTCCCAAAGTGCTGGAATTACAGGTGTGAGCCACCACAACTGGCCAGGTGTTTCTCTTGTTGGTTTCTTGTCTATCTGACCAGTTTCTTGTATACAAGTATATACAGATATATATTCTTAGTTATCCCCTCTTTATTTTATATATTTATTTATTTATTTATTTTTAGACACAGGGTCTTGTTCTGTCACCCAAGCTGGAGTACAGTGACCTATCACGAGCTCACGTCAGCCTCAAACTCTAGGCCTCCAGTGATCCTGGGCTAAAGTGATCCTCCCATCTCCACCTCCCAAATAGCTGGAACTACAGGTACAAGCAACTGAGTCCAGTCAATGTTTAAATGTTCTGTAGAGACGGGGATCCCACTGTGATGCCCAGGCTGGTCTCAAATCCCTGGCCTGCAAGCAGCCTTCCCACCTCGGCCTCCCCAAGTGCTGGGATTACAGGTGTTAGCCACTGCACCCAACCTGGAAGTGCTCCTCAAACTAGAAAGTAGTACACAAACAGGAGGAGCCTCTGCCATTTCCGAACCCACCAGGAAGTGTCCTTCTAAAGTGAGGAAACTACAGTGCTGACTGCAAAGGAGACGGCCCAGGGAAAGAATTTGAACCAGCGAGCTGCTTACAGGTATAGGGAGGAACCCAGGCTCCAGAGGAGGAACACCAGCCCCCATTGCCACTGACATCCTCTCTCACCAGCTTGATCCAGGAGCCGCCCCCCGCCCCCACCTGCTTTCTCCTTTCAGGCTCCCCTTGCACTGGTCCCCCACCCTCCACTTTCTGATCCTTGGTGAGGGGTCATGGAGGGGGCTCTGCTGAAAATCACTGCGGTTGAGGTTCAGGAAAGAAACATCTGCAGAACGGTGTGCATGTGCTTCTGGCCATACCTGACTTGCTTGTGGGCATCTTCGTGTACTTCTCGTCTCTGTCTTTGAGGCCTACTGTGAACATAAAAAGTAAAGATATTGCAGAGACAGTCTAGGTACTCAAATCAACCAAGCACCCCTCTCCCTCCAGATTTGCTTCCATTTTATTCCAGATCTAACTGGAATAAAATGTGAAAGAAGAAGGAAAAACTGGAACCTTCAATGCATTCATTTAACCTCTTGTGGAGCATTTCCCAAGTACTACAGTAGAAACTACAGGATTCCTTACTTAGAAGGCTTAATTTGCAGAGGTCTGACCTAAGACAGCTCCCCACTGGTCTACCCAGGCCTGAAGTGGATGCCCTTCTTTTAGGAGGCTCTTAAGGATATGTACATTTTCACTTTGATCCACCATAAAACCGTCATTATGAGAGTCACACATTGCCAGGTGAACTGCATCACTTAAGCATCCTCGCTCTTTGGCTCATGATTTCAGTCAAATGGGCACTGACAGCAGATGGGAGAGGAGGAGGAGGAGGAAGAAAGAGGTCAGGGTATTTATTCTTTATTCTCTCCCTGCTTTGATGCCAGGGACTAGCAGTGCCTGTGTTGCTCTGTGACTGCAGATAATCACAGTACCTTCAATAAGCTCCAACAATAATATTTCCCCTTCTAGTCAAGGGGTAGTCCTGGCTTCCTGCTGTTCCTCATCCTTGGGGGCATCAGCATGCCTGACGGGATCCCTGAATTCTGTCCATCTCTCTCCGAATTGTCCTTTTATTCAATTATCATGAGTTAAGCCCTTTTGAAGGCAATGCTGTTTCCTGCCAGGACTCGACTGATGCACAAGGACACATCAGGACATATGCACAGGGATTATGTCATCTGTAGCAAAATGGAGCAGAGGCAGGTGTGCGCTCTGCAGGCATGGGCAAAGCTAAGACCGGGGAGTGGCATGCGTTTCCGGCGATGGGCCATCACAGTTGATGGGCAGCAGGGACAGCAGGAGGCTGGAGGACACCGAGGGCAGAGTTCTCTTTGCATTCAGTCCCTTGCACAGGGCTGGACCCCTGTGGACTCTCAATACCTATTAGCTGAATGAAGGAAGGAATCAGCCATCCCAAGATGAGCTGATTAGATGGGCACCTAAAACGGGAGACAGGAGAGAATGAAAGAGGAAGTTGGAACGGAAAAAAGTCTTGGCCCAGCTCTTACTTTGACTTTGGGCCGGGCTGAAATGAAGCCAGACATTGATGAAATGAGGTTTGTCAGATTCTGAGATGCCACTGGCTTTGCCTTCATGAAGCCTGGATTCTAGCCAAGAGAAGACTGATGAACAGAATAAAGTTATAGTCTTTTTCACTATTGTTTAACATTACTAAATAACTTTTTTTCCTGTTTACATGCCCATGTAGAAAAATTTAGAAAATCAATTAATCATAAAGGAGAAGATGAATATAACTCAGAAGTAACCTCTGTCATTCTGCATCTGTATATTCTTTTTTTTTTTTTTCTTTAGAGACAGGGTCTCGCTATGTTGCTCAGGCTGGAGTGTAGTGGCTATTCACAGGCGCAATCCCACTACTGATCAGCACGGGAGTTTTGACCTGCTCTGTTTCCGACCTGGGCCAGTTTACCCCTCCTTAGGGGACCTGGTGGTCCCCTGCTCCTGGGAGGTCACCATATCGATGCTGAACTTAGTGCGGACACCTGATCGGCATAGCACACTACAGCCCAGAACTCCTGGGCTCAAGCGATCCTCCCACCTCAGCCTCCCGAGTAGCTGGGACTACAGGCACATGCCACTGCACCCAGCTTATTCTAATTCTTGGAGAATTACACTGTTTGAAATTTTCTTTTAAACTCAAATTATATCATGGAATATTTTTCACATCATTGGCATTTTTTTTTTTTTTTTAAGATGGGGTTTCACACCGATGGCCAGGCTGATCTTGAACTCCTGACCTCAGGTGATCCACCCACCTCGGCCTCCCAAAGTGCTAGGATTACAGGTGTGAGCCACCGCGCCCAGCCTTATTGGCATTTTTTTTTTTTTTTTTTTTTTACCAGCAGAGGGTAGGATTATTAATCTTGAAATCAGGTGTTACACAAAACAAATCATAGGAAAAACTAACCCTGCTTGAGCCCTTCCTGTGTGCTCGTTACTGTGCTAACTCCTGTTACGAGCGTTAACTCCGTTTATTCCTCAAAACAACTCTATGAGGTAAGCCCCGTCATTATCCTCATTTTATACGTAGAAAACTGAGACACAAAGACTTTCAATAATTTGTAAAACTGAAGGAGCCAGAAGTCAGAGCCAGGGGTTCTGGCTCCAGGGTTGGAAGCAAGGCTGGCCGCAGCATCGTGCTGGAAGGTTTGCCTCTCACTGCCAGGAATCTGGCTTAGATGTGGAAGGTCTGAGCTTATCATCTCCTCGTGTAGGGGCTAATATGGACCTTGCACAAAGTTGGTGCACAATAAATATTTATTGAATGAGCCCCAGGAGGTTATGAAGAAAGGATAGGCATGTACCAAGTCAGGATGATATAGGATGACATTCGAGACAGCTTTTTGAACTGAACATAGGGTATACATTTGTTGAACACCCACTTTTATTTTGGATAAAATGACAAGTTCCAATCCATGAGACTTCTTCTTGATGTCTGCTTGTTCTAGTTTTTAGTCTGTGAATGGATGTTTTCCCAAAAGAGGTACCAGAGCTCTCTTGAAGGTGAGCTGGAGCAGGGATGGGGATTTGTGAGGAGGGAAGGCTGCTGGAAGGCTCATTCAGCTAATGGCCAAGCATCTGATAAGTTATACTTCACCTTGCTGATTATTTCATCTGAGAAGATAAGAGAATTTAATGTTTACAAGGAAGCAGAAACTGGCTAATGAAGACGATGTTGCTTTCTTGGCATTTGTAACAGCCAAGAAAAGAAGTCCTTGTATGCAGCGCAAAACACCCAGATAGTGTCCTTGGCGCCCCTCCCCCCACTGTCTCACATCCTCCAGGGTGCAGCCAGCTCCAGCTCCACTGCTTACAGGTGTATCTGCTCATAGAGGTACATTTTTCTGATGTGCATAAAGACCAGGAAAGGCCATCTGCGGCCCTGCCCACAGCAGTCAGGCGGCCAGTCCTGGCTGAGCTTCTCAACACCCCCCTGCCCCGCCGCTGCTCTCCTGCCCCTCCATCCCCACTCCCCCTGCCTCAGGTGTCATTACTTAGCACATGGGAGGCAGCAGGCTTTCCTGCCTCTGGTCTTGCCCTTCTCTAATCCAACCATCCCACCAATACCTTGGAATGAAAATCACAATTATGTCACTTCCCTTCTTAAAACCTTTCATCCTCAAAGTAAAATCCATGGAAGTTGGGCATATAAGGCCCATAATAAGGCTCCCACTCTGCCCCCAACTTCTTGCCATTGTCAATTACCTCTCTATGCTTTGCTCCCGATGTCCCAACTATTTTGGCTGCCCTTCCTACCATTCTTCCTACTCTTTCTTACCCAGACAACTCCATGCACTCCCAGATAAAATACCACCTCCTCCTGAAAGCATTCCTGGACTTTTCTCCTTCCCACTGAATTCAGTGCTTCTCTCCTTTACCTGCTTTTCTCAGAAGGTGCACACCGTGCTGTTGTGGTGATAGGCCTTCTGACTATCCCACTCACTTCACCATGGGATCAATAGATGACTCTACTTTTTTTTTTTTAAACAAGATCTCTCTCTGTTGCCCAAGGCTGGAGTGTAGCGGTGCTATTATAGCTCACTGCAGCCTCAACTTCCTGGGCTAAAGCAATTCTCCTGCCTCAGCCTCCCAAGTAGCTAGGACTGCAGGTGTGTGATACCATGCCCAGCTAATTAAAAAGAAATTGTGTAGTGAGGGGGTCTCACTGTGTTGCCCAAGCTGGTCTTTGAATCCTAGGTTCAAGGGATTCTTCCACCTCAAACTCACTCAGTGCTGGGATGATAGTTGTGAGCCACCATGCCTGGCCTCTATGTCACCCATCTCTTAGCGGTGTGCAGAACTGACTTTACAAAGACAGGTACAAAATATGGAAGGAAAAGCACAAACCCAAGGGTGTATTCCACAGAATTGAAGGGACCCGTAAGAAATGAGTCAAGGGAGGCCAGCATCTAAATGAGACTCAAAAGACAGGGTAAAAAGAAGCAGAATTCTTTCCCGTTGCATCCTGAGCTAGGAGAGTCAGTAAAAGGAAATATACTGCTTGCCTGTTGCCCAGGCTGCAATGCAGTGGCACAATCTTGGCCAGCTGCAGCGTTGACCTCCTGGGCTCAAGCTATCCTCCCACCTCAGCCTCCTGAGTGGCTGGGATTACAGGCATGTGCTACCATGCCAAGCTAATTTTTGTGTTTTTTGTGGAGTCAGGGTTTTGCCATGTTGCCCAGGCTGGTCTTGAACTTCTGAGTTCAAGTGATTTGCCTGCCCTGCCCTCCCACAATGCTGGGATTACAAGTGTGAGCCACCACACCTGGCAGAGATGAGGTGATGTTAATAAACAATTATGATAAGGCTGAGATTCTGCTAACAGAATCCAATTTTACTTTGCTATTCTCCATCAAAGAGCGTGGTCTTCAAATTAGGAAGAGGGAAAAGAATTAGTTGCTGCCAGAATAGTGGACGTGGAGCACGCAACCATCTAATGCTCAGCCCTGATTACACATTGAAATCACCCGAGGAGCTTAAAAATCCCGGGCCACAGAGCAGACCAATTAAGTCAGAACCTCCAAGGGTGGGACCAGCCACGAAGTCTTCAAATCTCAGGTGATTACAATGTTCGGCCAAAGTTGTGACTTCTCATTTTTAAAATGGAGCTCTTTTGCACAGCTCTCTGAGGCCATGACCTGGCACAGGAGGACAGCAGACAGTTAGGAAGCCAGCATGCTTCCTTGAGTCCGTTTTGCTGACCAGTGGGAGATGGCAAGTTGCTTCTCTCCAGGTCTGTTTCCTCAGCTGTGAAATAAGGCACTAGGCAATGAGATGGCTTCGAAAACTTTCAAGTCCATTCCAGAAGGCGGCGGGCACCCTGAGACGTGAGAGGTGCTTCACAACTCTAGTCCTGTCGGCTGAAGGCAATGCTAGAAAGGTCAGTCCCCTGACAGAGGTGCACCAATGGGGGTGTGGGTTCCACACAGACCCACTAGCACTGGGGTGTGCGCGTGTTTAACTTTCATTAACTCAATGAGCATGCACCCATCATGTTATTTATATTGCATTTCTTGAATTGTTCTAGGGGCTGTGCATTCTTCCACACAATGAGTTGAGCATTTTGTATTTTTCCTTGGTTGTAAATATTAAATAGTTCATTTCCTTTTATTCCTTCCTAAGTGGATTTCTAGTAACTAATAATCTGCTTTTCAAATCACGTTCTCTAAAATGTGTGATGGTTAATTTTATGGGTCAACATGGCTCGACCATGGTACTGGTTCTGGTCAAACCTCAATCTAAATATTGCTGTGACGGTATTTTTAAAAGATGTGATGAACACTTAGATCAGTGGACTTTAAATAAAGCAGATTACCCTCTATCATGTGGGGAACCCCCATCCAGTCAGTTATAGGCCTTCAGAGAAAAGTCTAAGGTTTCCTGAAGATGAAGGAATTCTGAAGGAGGAGGAATTAGCTTCCAGACTGCCTTCCTACTCAAGACGGCAACACGCCAGGTTCTGCCAGAATTTCCAGTCTGCTGGCCTGCCCTGCAGATCTCAGACTTGGCAGCCCCCACAGATGTGTGATCCAGGCAGAGAAAGGCATGAGGATGTGTATGTGGACAGCCTATTGGTTCTGGTCCTCTGGAGATCCCTGATTGATGGAGTACGAACACTCCTGGACCTCTAAGGCCTGCACATCTGAGGGAGATCTGAGCTGTCGCCTGCAGCCAAAGGGCTGTGAGGGCTGTCTGGGGTATGGGGGACCAGCCCAGCTTTGAGCTGTCAGCTTCTAGAGGGTCTCGGGGTGTTTGGTCAAGTTGTCTTCTGGTCACCATTACTGACTTCTGTTCCCACCAACTTGGTGGGCCTCTAACACACAGACAGCCCTGGCCTGCCACTGCCTTGCCTCAGAGTAAAAAAGAACACATCAAGACTATGTTTGTCTACCTGCTTCTTAGATAAAATCTCAGCCTATCGTCCAAGTTGTGGGCTTAAAAAAAAAAAAACTCAGCCTAGATCATCCCTTTTTTTCCCTGTACTCCCTTGAATTCCTATGCCTGGGAATACCATCTGCCTTCCCACTTGAAGACACTGGGTTACTATTTTTTTTTTTTTTAATTTAAACCTCTAAATTTTGTTACCTATTCTCCTTATTAGAATTCTCATTTCTTATAGAACGTACTACTTTCTAACTTGTAGATATCTATTTGACCTGATGCCAACATTTTAGACTCTTGTTAATTGAAATTCCCATATCTAATTAAGTGTCTCAGCTGCTTAAAAATAAAACCAAAACAAACAAAAATGGATATTTGTCAAGGAGACAGCCTGCAATGCATTTCAGAATGTGAAACTGCGGATGGAACATCTCTACTTCACTTCACCTCCTGCCCTCTGGCCTGGGGAGCAGAGCAGAGACCAGGCCTTCAGCAGGGGTGAGTCAAGACTCACACACGAGGTCTTCTCAATGCTATCCCCGCAATCCCAAGAGCCACCACTGCTTGTCTGAGGTTAGATTTATTTGATGAGGCCGCTTACGGTACTGGAACGAGTGCAGACTTGGCACCAGCCAGACTTCAGTTTCAATCCCAGGGGAGCCCCAAACTAGCTGTTAACCTTCGGCAACTTACTTGATCTTTCTGTGTCTCAGTTTCCTATAAAATGGGGGGAACAATACTAACTTTACTGGCTTGCTGCAAGAATTAGGCAAGAAAATGTTAATTTGAACCACATGAAATGGCTAACATTCAACTGATTTTGATGTACAAAAACATTTTCACTTGGTTCAACCTGAGTTTTATGTCCATCAATATAACTTCCTTTCATTGTATAAGGGTGAGAGGAGAGCACCAGAAGTGGAAACGTGGGGGCTGTGGGGCTCTGTGGGTAGGTTATGTGATCACGGCACAAGGTCGCATAACTTTTTGAGCCTTGCTCTTTTCATCTTTAAAATGAGGGTGTTTCTAAGGTCCTTGAAGGACTGACACTCTGAAAAAAAAAAAAAAATTTTTTTTTTGGGATAGGTCTCACTGCCACCCAGGCTGGAGTGCAGCATTGCAATCTCAGTTCACTGCAGCCTCAACCTCCCAGGCTCAAGTGATCCGCCTGCCTCAGCCTCCCAAATGGCTAGGACCACAGGTGTATGCCATCACACCTGGCTAATTTTGCTTGTTTTTGTAGAAACAGGGTCTCACTATGTTGCCAAGTCTGGTCTCGAAGTCTCAGGCTCAAGCAATCCTCCTGCCTTGGCCTCCCAAAGTGCTGGGATTACAGGTGTGAGCCATCATGCCCAGCCTTCTGCAAAATTTTTGATTTTTGCATTCTGAAAAAATGGTCTGATTAAGGTCTGTCTCCCCCACTAGACTGTCAGCACCTCAAGGGGAGGAGCAGGTCTGTTTTGCTTACCACTGCCTCCCAAGCCATGGGCACAGTGCCTGGAGTACAGTGCCTTCAATAAATATTTGTTGAATCAATGAATGAATGAAGTACAGGAAATAGCAAGGGTCAGGATTCACTCATTTATTCATGCCCAACATTTCATGAGCATTCATCATTGTGGGAAAACCAGGATAAATGGTGCAGGTTGAGCCCTTAAAGGGCTCACAGTCTAGAAGCAGAGACAGACGAGATTTAAACAAACAAAAAAAAAGGCTGAGGGATTAGTCCTTGGAGAGAAGAGTAGTGGAGAGCTGCAGAAACTCAGAAGTAAATCACCTAATTGAGATTTGAGAGCCAGGGGGTGAGGGAGGACCAAGGAAGGCTTCTCAGAGGAGGTGACACTTCTGCTAAATATTGGAGGAAGAAAAGAAATGGAGCAGAGAAATAAGAAAGAGAAGGGCGTTGTGAGCATGGAAGCAGCAGGTGCAGAGGCCTCAGGAGGCTGCAAGGAGGAGGGGCAGGTTGTAATCCGCAGAGAGATGAGGACCAGGAAGCATAAAGTGAGGACTCCGAAGTTCAAGCAGACTTTCCGGGGAGCAGACGGCCAAGATGAAGAGAGAGCACTACTAAGTTAGGCGAAAATCAAATGTCAAGGCGTTTAGGGCGATCAGAGCCCCAGTCCATAATCCCACAGCTTTCTCTTTGTCATGCATGACAGGGATTCGACAGCAACGCTTCATGCCACATTGTTGCCGCCCCTGGCCTCTCTTCATCCTTTGAACCCTCCAAGTCCCTCCTCACTAAATCTCTCCTGTCTCCATCTTCATCCCATCTGAGTCTTTCAGTTCACGCCAAGTTTCTTGTAAATACTGTTCAGATTCACTCCATTTTCTCTTCTCCTCTCAACCTGCTGACACCTGTCTCTTCTTTGGATGATCATTAATGGCACTTAGCTGCCATATCTAGGGCTCACTTCTCAGCCCTCTACCTAGTTGATTTTGACCTTGGAGTGATCTGACCCTACTGACCACTCCCTCCCTCTTAAAACCCTTGACACCTCGCTGGAATGCCTTCATAGTCTGAAAGCCTCTGATGGCACAGCCCGCAGGCATCTCGTTTAGTGATTGGTGAAGAGCTCACTGTCCAGGGTAGTACCTGCCCTGCAGTAAGCACTTGATAACCGTGAAAAAAATAGCCTCTTAGCATCCTCAACACCTCTGTGTTCCAGTTCTCTTCCCATTTCTCTGGCTGCTCATTTCCATTTTCCTTCATTGAGTCCCCTTCCTTTATCTTCTGCTTAAATGCTGCTCTTCCCCAAGGTCTGTCCTTGATCCAGTCCTTATTTCATGCTACATGCCATCTCCGGCCACCTCATCCATTGCCACCTATGGAGACTCCCTTTAAATCTAGTTCTCCAGGCCAGTTTCCTTCTTGAGCTGCAGACTTACATCCCTTCCTGCCGACTGGACAGCTGTCTGTTGGTATCTTGCAAGCACACCTCGATTCATGTGTTCATACCAAACTCATCACCTTTACCCCCAAACCTACTCCTCCACCTGCTCTCCTTCCTGGCACCACCATCAACCCAGTCGTACAATCCAAATACCTGCTGGACATTCACCTTAAACTTCTCTCTCGCCCTGGAGCCAATCAGATTCTGACCATTCTAGCTCCTTGAAAGCTGTCATAGCCATTCCTCCCCCATCCCCATCTTACTCATTCAACTACGAATGAGCCTGCAGCAGCTCTTACCTGGCCTCAGCCTCTGATCATAGACTCTGGATTACTTTCTCTGTTTCCCCTCTAGCCCCGCTCCTGGCACTCCATCATGCTGCTGAGCAAGCAAGCATCATGTCTCTGAAATGGAAATCTGCTGAGACCATTCACCTCCTCTTTACCTTCAGAATGAAACGCAAATTCTTTAGCACAACAAAGAATGTATGATAACGTACTTTCAGCATCTGGTAGGATCAGTTTGCCCTCCCATAGCCTGAGCTGGCATTGTCCAGGAGCCTGGAGTGTAGACAGGCTGTTTCCGTTTTCCCAGGGAAGAAAGGAAGAGAGGACAGACAGTAAGTTTTGGGGGTTTTTTTTGAGACTGGGTCAGATGGGCCCAGGCTGGAGTGCAGTGGCATGATCACGGCTCACTGCAGCCTCGACATCCCAGGCTCAAGCCATCCTCCTACTTCAGCATCCCAAGTAGCTTCTACTACAGGCACACATCACCATGCCCAGCTACATTTTTTTGTACTTTTTATAGAAACAGGGTCTCACTTTGTTGCCCAGGCTAGCCTCAAACTTCTGGGCTCAAGTTATCCTCTTGTCTCAGCCTTCCAAAGTTCTGGGTTTCCAGGCATGAGCCACCATGCCCGGCCTGAGACAGTTAAGTTTTTATTTATTCTAGAAACATTGCCCAGTGCCCTGGTATTCTGATCTTGATTCTGCATGATTGATGAAGACGGGCCTTTTCTGGATGTGCCTCCCATGGAGATTCTCGGAAAACATGAATTATTTGCTGGGTGGAGACTAGATTGAGGCAGGTAAGGTATGTAGGGAGTAAAATTTAAAGAGCCACTCACTCTCTGGGGTGTGCAAACACCTTCTTCAGGTTTGCACCCATAGCACCTCACTGGACTCACCCCCTGGTGTGCCCATGTGTATATAAGCTCTTTTATTAGCATGACCATGTAAAGAAGCCTGGATACAAATTACCAGCAGCTTATGGATTTAGAGTCTAGATGAAGTTAAGGGAGCCCTTTAAAGGTTTAGGCTACAAAAAATAAAGTTTAACCTGGCTTGTGGGTTATAAGTTGGGTCTACCTTCCATTCTGGAAAGAGATTTGCCCACATATATCTGGAGCTTTCAATGTTCTTGTGCCATTTGATCCAGAACACTTCCAGAAGTCTATCCTAATTAAGCGATTATGTATGTGAGCAACTCTTTATATAGAAAGATGTATATACAGAATATTTGTAATAACCAAGAGGAAACAACCAAATGTCTGTATAGAGGAAAATCCTGAAATGATGGCACACTGTGCATTAATTTACGTATTTGCATGATTATGCAGCCAATCAAATGATAATTCTGTTGGCTTTTAAAATAAGTAAACATGAAGATAATATTATGCTAAATACAATAAGGTTATAAAACTGTATGCATAGCATAATTCCAAACTACTTAGTGTTCAGTATATGCTTACCAAAAAAGACAAGAAAATATACAAAAATGTTAACAAGGTTACTTCTGGGTTTGGAGATTATAGGTAATACCTGTGTGTTTTAAAAAATTTTTCTCGTTTTTTGGTAAATTTAAATAATATTTATATGTGTCTTTCATAACTAAAAAAATGAAAGTTTCAATTTTTATTTTTGAGATGGAGTCTCGCTCTGTTGCCAGACTAGAGTGCAGTGGCATGCTCTCCGCTCACTGCAACCTCTGCCTCCTGGGTTCAAGTGATTCTCCTGCCTCAGCCTTCCAAATAGCTGGGACTACAGGCACTCAGACCACGCCCAGCTAATTTTTGTATTTTTAGTAGAGCTGGGGGTTTCACCATGTTGGCCAGGATGGTCTCAATCTCTTGACCTCAGGTGATCTGCCCGCCTTGGCCTCCCAAAGTGCTGGGATTACAGGCATGAGCCACCCCACCGGTCAAAAAATGAAAGTTTTTAAAAGTAAAATTACAAAGAAATTTTATTTCACTCTCTAAGATCAGTAACAAGACTCACTCTCACTACCTCTATTCAACCATAGTACCAGAAGTCCTTGGCAAAGCAGTTAGACAAGAGAAAGAAAGAAAAGGCATACAAATAGGAAAGAAAGAAGTGAAATCGTTGCTGTTTGTTGATGACAGGATTTTTTTTTTTTTTTTTTTTTTTGAGACGGAGTTTCGCTCTTGTTACCCAGGCTGGAGTGCAATGGTGCGATCTCGGCTCACCGCAACCTCCGCCTCCTGGGTTCAGGCAATTCTCCTGCCTCAGCCTCCTGAGTAGCTGGGATTACAGGCATGCACCACCATGCCCAGCTAATTTTTTGTATTTTTAGTAGAGACGGGGTTTCACCATGTTGACCAGGATGGTCTCGATCTCTTGACCTCGTGATCCACCCGCCTCGGCCTCCCACAGTGCTGGGATTACAGGCTTGAGCCACCGCGCCCGGCCTGACAGGATCTTATATATAGAAAACCCTAAAGATTTCACCAAAAAAATTGTCAGAACTAATGAACAAATACAATAAAGTTGCAGATACAATTCAACATGCAAAAAACAGTAGTGTTTCTATATACTAGCAACAAACTATCTAAAAAAGAAATTTTAAAAAGTCCAATAAGCAGTAGTTACAAAAAAGACTAATGAATAAATTTGATGGAAGAAGTGAAAAATTTGTAAAATGAAAACTATAAAACGCTGGTGAAAGAAATTAAAGAAGACACAAATAAATAGAAAGATATGTTATGGATTGAAAGAACTGATCTTGTTAAAATGTCCATACTCCCAAAGTGATCTACAGATTCAGTGCAATCCCTGTCAAAACTCCAAGTCATTTTTCATAGACATAAAAAAAAATCCTAACATTCATATGATACCACAAAAGATCCCAAATAGCCAAAATAATCTTGAGCAAAAAGAACTAAGCTGGAGGCATCACACTACCTGATTTCAAGCCATATTACAAAGTTATTATAATTAAAACATCATAGAACTGGAATAAAGATGGACACATCAACCAGTGAAACAGAAGAGAGAGCCTAATAATAAACCCATACATTTACATTCAATTGATTTGTGACAAAGGTCCCAAAAACACACAATGAAAAAAACAAAAACAAAAATACATCTCTCCTATAAATATGTTGAGAAAAGTGGATATCCATGTGCAGAAGAATGAAATCAGACCTTCTATCTCACACCATTTACAAGAATCAATTCAAAACGGATTAAATACTTAAATGTAAGACCTGAAACTGTAAAACTGATAGAGGAAAACACAGGAGAAAAGTTACACAACATTGGTCTAGGCAGTGAATTTTTTGCATTTGACTCCAAAAGCTCGGGCAACAAAAGCAAATAGACAAATGAGATTGCATCAAACTAGAAAGCTTCTGCACAACAAAATAAACAATGCAGTGAAGAGACAACCTGCAGATTGGAAGACAATATTTGCAAGTCATACACATCTGATAAGGGGTTTGTGTATAAAATACATAAGAAACTCAAATAACTCGATAGCAAGAAAACAAGTAACCTGATTAAAAATGAGCAAAGGACTTGACTAGGCATTTTTCAAAAGAAGAGCTACAAGTGGCCAACAGATATATGAAAACATGCTCAACATCATTAGTCATGGAAATGCACATTTGAACCACAATGAGATATCATCTCACACCAGTCAGAATGGCTATTATCAAAAGATGGCTGGGCATGGTGGCTCATGCCTATAATCCTGGCACTTTCGGAGGCCAAGGTGGGAGGATCACTTGAAGCCAGGAGTTCTAGACCAGCCTGGGCAACATAGTGAGACCCTGTCTATAGAAAAAAAAATTTTCGTAATTACCCAGGCATGGTAGCACACCTGTAGTCCCAGCTACTCAAGAGGCTGAGGTGGGAGGATCACTTGAAACCATTACAATCCAGCCGAGGTAACAGAGCAAGACCCTGTCTCTAAAACAAACAAACAAAAAAAAAAACTTAAAAAGATGAATGATAACAAGCCTTGGCAAGGATGTGGAGAAAAGAAAACCCTTGTAACACTGTTGATGGGAACATAAATTAACACAGCCATTATGGAAAACAGTTGTATGGGGGTTCCTCAAAAAACTAAAAACAGAATTACCATATGATCAGCAATCCCATGTCCAGGTATATATCCAAATGACTTGAAATCAGTTTGTTGAAGAGATATCTGCACTCTCATTTTCACTGCAGCATTATTCATAATAACCAAGTTACAGAAACAACCTAAGTGTCCATCAGTGGAGGCATGGATAAAGAAAATGTAGTATACAATGGAATACTATTCAACCTTAGAAAAAGAAATTCTGTCATTTGCAACAGTATGGATAAACCTGGAGGACATTATGTTTAGTGAAATAAGCCAAGCCACAAAGACAAAAACCGTATCTAAAACAATAGAAATCATATTAACAGAGAGCAGAATGATGGTTAGCAGCGGCTGGGAGATTGAGGAGATGAGGAGATGTTGGCCAAAAGGTAGTTTCAGTTAGACAGGAGGCATAGTTGTTTGAGACATATTGCACAGCATGGTGACCATAGTTAAAAATAGTGTATTGTATATTGCAAAATTGCTGAGTAAATTTCAAAAGTTCTCACCACAAAAAAATAGTATTTGAGGTAACAGATACATTAATTAATCATTTCACATTGTATGCATATATCCTTACATCATTTTGTATGTACCCCATTAATATATACAATCATAATTTGTCAATTAAAATTTTTTAAATAAAAAATAAAAGAAAGTCTATTTCACTCTCTTAGACTTCTTAGTCACCAATATTTGCTAATAGGTTACCACGCCAACTCTGGCCTGAGAAAAGTTTTTGATGACAACCAATAGAGTTTGTTGTTGTTGTTGCTTTTAATCCCTACAAGCACATTTGGATGAAATCATCTCTGCAGCTGCACCACTCCACAAGTTCCAGTGTTTGTCCATGCAACTTCTGACTCTGATGGTAACAGGCCTTAGTACCACAGGGCTCACCAAGACCACTGGGTATTTTAGCTCCTAGTTTTGTGATATTGTTAAGAACAGCTTGAAACAAATGCTATGAGCTACAGCTGGCTGTTTGGGAGCCCATGTGTGGAGGGCTCCCACCAGCCCCGGGGGGAGGGCACTGAGGCGCTAGACACACAGCCCTCCTAACCCCAAACCCCCAAAAGCTAGATTTCTTTTCGTATTCACTGATCTCTCAGACTATTTATATTTACACTCAAAGAAAGCTGAAGTTCAATGTGAAGCTAAGGCTAATAAAGGACCAGGAATCAAGAATGCCCTACTGTTTCCATTTCCTCATCAGTACAGAGAGAGCACTGGATTAGGTTGTCTCCAAGTCTCTTATACTGTTGACTGATGCCGGGCAAGCAGGCGTGCGCTCCAGACAGACATTGCCAGTGCTGCCGTCAGAATGGCCCAGTTGAGGCTGAGAGCTAAGGAGCTGGTGGGGAGCCCGGTTCCCTGTCTAAGCTCCCTCTGCAAGTACTGGCATGGACAGGGTGGCATGCAGCTTTAGTGTTGACCACAGGCAAGTGCTTACCTGCAGCTCCATCCCTGGCCCTCCCAATTTACAGGTAGGGTACCATCTATTGGTGATTCTTGTAGCCATACAGCTTGAAGAAAGCTGCTTTGTTTTCCTTTAAAATATTAAAAAGTGATTCACAAATCTAGCAAATAATTACAGCAGAATCATTCTCACAAAATAGAGTCCCATTGGTTATTTGAGAATTCACAGATTTGTTCTAACCCTAGGTTGCAGACATCAAACAATTGCCCTTGATTTAAAAAAAAGAAAAAAGTACATATATTCTATTTTCCAGAATCTACCTTTCACCCAGGGCAATTCATAAGGAATTTAAAAAAAAGCACTGATAAAATGATCTAATCTAGCATCATTTTAAAAGAAAACGTAATTCTAACTTTCTAAAAGGGGAGCAGCAGGAGAACAAAGGGAAAGGGAAGAAAAACGCATCCACACAAAACACCATACGCTGGAAATGATGCTGCTTCCAGGACAATACTGTAAGCTCACTTTGCACACCTTCTTTTCGTAAATCCTCTATCCCTAAATGTCCACTCACCTGCCTTTCTTAGACATCTCGTGGACTTCTTTTCCTGGCCAGTGCACTCTGCTTTCAGTGGCCAAAACCCATCCCCACAACAAAAGAAAGATGCCAAATTTCATATTTGGGACAGCCAAGACGGGTTTTCAAATCCAAACAGCTCTCTCCAGAAACAGCAAAAAGGAAAAGGTTGTTCTTTTTCTCTCTTAAGACATCATTGGTCTGTTCATTATTAGAAGGATGTTTACTCACGCAAAAAAAATCAACCCACAGGATGCAATCTGGAGAGCAGGAGAAAGCAATTTCCACTAAACCTATAAATCCTCCTACGTCAGATGTCAGGGATTTTCTGAACTGAAGTTGAATTCCTGTGTCCCAGTGGAACAATTATTTTGTCCAATCTAAATTAGTTCATCGTGAAATGTGGTAAAATGTCGGTAAAATTCTGTATGTTCTGGTGCATTGAATAAAAGGAAGTAAAAATGGACCAAAGCAATTTCCAAAAGGAATAAGGCCAGAGGTGCGGAATTGCTTCCTGTGTTCACGTTAATGAGCTCCTCCCTGGATCTATTTTAAGCTTCCAGCCATTATTATTTGCTTTAGCTGAGGGCTGGATTTGGACAGCTCCCTGCCCCCACTTCCTGTGGCTGAATCCCTGAAACCCCAGGGCTCAGTACCTGCGTGGGCTGTATATGTGGCTGAGATTGGGAGGGCAACTGGGGAAGAGGCTTTTTTGTTTGTTTGGCACAGAAACAAGTAAATTTTCTTGTCAGTTGCATATTCGTATAATGAACCTCACTGCAATTTCCACATTTGAAAAATACCACTAATAAATTAACTGTAGCCTCAAGTGTGTATTATTTGCAGACAGTTTTTCTTTTGCTTTGATGCTTACTCCAAGACTGCTATTATCTACAGGCCGGAGTTTGTGTCTTCATCAAAAGACAGTCTCAGAGCCTTGTGGAAGAGACTACACTAGCTACGCCAAAATATTGACTTTTCAAAGCTGAGCTGACATGGCTTTGATAACTTTCAGACTGTCCTGGTAAACTGAGTCAGGATTCCCAGAACTCTATAGTTGAAATGCAGTTTCACAAAACTGCTAACCCAAGATCCAACAGAATGAGAATTAATTACACAGAACGAATTGATGAGGGAAACTTTGTTAAGGTTATTTGAAATGTAGTTGTTTTAAGGTTCTGTTCCTGGATCGTAAGAAGCCTTTTTTTCTCTTCTTATGCTATCTGTAATTCACAATAAGTTTGTAAATTCTGCTTTTATAAACTTAAATGAAGCATTTGTAAATGATACATGATTCTCACTCACACAATTCTCCTTCTTTGAATTCAGAAACTCTTACCCAGTCTTTTTACATCTCTTGGCAATATAGTTGTTTGCATAGGTTTAGTAAGAATCTGTCCTCCTTTTTGCCAAAATACAACTGGAAGCATCAATTATGTAATGAAAGCCTTGCCTTGAATGCCCTATTTGAGAATAATATTCACTCAATGAGGTGTGACAAGACATTTTTTTTTCTTTTTTTGGAGTCCCCTGAAACAGACAAGCCATTTTAAGGAATAAAGGTTGGCTGTACTTACAGAATCAATGCCTACAAAGTCCTCCCAGGAAACCTGACATAGGTCCAGTTTATAGTGTCCAGTCTTACAGTTAGTAAGGAAAGTCACTTCCAGGCAAGTACTTGGGGTATTTTTCTGAAACCTCTAGAAGAAAGGAATTCACTCAAATCTGCAGGTAAAATTTGGTGGAGTTTCTAGGGCTTGGTCTCCTAATCTTAGCAAGATAGAAAATAATGGACACTTTTACAAGTCCAATCTGAGATTCCTTATGATAACTTCTAGGCAGAAGCTAATTTGGAATCATTCAACACTGTATGGCTCTAAATTTTACAAAGCAAACGCCAAAGGAGGCCTCTATGATGCATAACTCTCTGGACGCACTGTAGAAGTCATCAGCCAAACCTAAGGAGCCCAGCCTTTTTTTGTGATCAAGAATAATCTTTAGAGTTATATATAATAACAAGGAGAAGGAAGATGGTCAGGAAAAATTGTCAGATTTTAAAATGAGCAAAATAGATTACTGGGTGTTCTTTTAATAGAATGCTGAGCCTTGTCCAGCAGGTCCTCCAGGAATCATCTAATCCTATAGGGATGTATACCTTTGATTGTCTTTAGGTATTTTACAATTTTGTAATAGTAGATGTTAACACGTAGAAAACTGATAATAGCATATATCTTTCCTGTCCATAGCTATGCAAATTATTCCTTTTGTGCTGTGGAGAGTATAAATATCTATAAATCAAGTCCTTATTTGAAGCAGTTGTAACATCTTACTGGTCCCGTAACTAAATAATGAGATAAAAAAATCTTCAATGTCATTCATTTTATAGTTATGTGAGAGTCATGATTATATCCTCTTGTGTAAATCATCCTTTAACATACTTTCAATTAATAGACGTCAAAAACATTCAACCTATAGGAATAAAAGCAGAATATGTGATGTCTCCAGAGGTCAACGTAATTAGGCATGGTTACATACTTAATTCGTAGTGACTTGCTGATTTAAAGAACAAAATTGGCAAAAGGGAGATACTCTGGGGCTGAGTACACCAATGAACAGGACAATAAGGCATTACACTGGGGAGGTAGAAAGAGCATTAAATGGCTCCTAATGCCCAGATTGGAAAATGCCTTTCTCGTTTAGAGGATCCTGGACTAGCTCCAGGAGCCAGGAGCCTGGGCATAACCAAAGAGAGCAAACCAGAAGGCCTCAAACACGCATTTCCTGCCCTCTCTTAGCTAAGCAGAGAGCTGGCTCAGCAGGTCCCGAGTCAGCTCTGTGGCAGCACAGGCGGTCCAGCTGCTAAGCCTTTGCAACAAGGCCACTTCCTCCATCCGGAAGCTCCTATGGCAGCACCTTGAAGGGAGGGGCCCTGTCTTAGAGCCCTTTCTGCTTTGGGCTTGAGCCAACCATGCATCCCTCTTACTGCCATCATGAGAGCTCAGAAAGCCATGGCATTTTACTACTTTGCCACTTGTAAATGTTCTTCATCAACTTTATTTCCCACTAACACCATGTGGCTCTACTGTGGAGAGTTTCTGCGCCCTCCTTATAGGACAAGGACATAGGAGGGAGCTGGAAAGCGGAGGTGCAGCCTGAGAAAACCAGTTAGGGCCAGCATCAGAGTTCATCAAGGGTCCAGACTGACTTACTGAAGCATAACACTTCCAGACCAATTTTAAAAGACACTATTTTTTGACAAAATTCTTCTTCTCCTTTATTCAGTATACCAGCCTTCTCTCTCTTCTCACGCCTCTTGTTATTCCCCAGCCATCATGGCCTTCCCTGCACCAATGCAGGGTCTCCGGGGCAATAATCTCATCAGCAGAGGAAGGACCAAGCAGTACTTGACTCCAGCTTACTTTCTCGTGGCCATCAAATGCCCCCTCCCCCAAGCCCTCAGAGCCAGCCAACGCCACACACAAGGCACTCACTGACTGATGGGTAAACTGAGGCAGCATACCCCAGCTGCTCCCTGACAGTGGCTGCAGGTTCATCAGCTGTTTCCAAGTGCTCCCTGCAGCACCTTTTCTAGCCACAGTCAGTCCTCTGCATCCATGAGTTTTCACATCTGTGGATTCAACCAAGTGCAGATCAAAAATATCTGAGGATAGAAAAGCAAGTAAAGAACACACATTCAAAAAACTAACACAGTATGACAACTATTTGCTAGTATTTACATTGTATGAGATATCAGAAGTAATCTAGAGATGATTTAAAGTATACAGGAGAATGTGTCTAGGTTATATGCAAATACTACCCCATTTTCCGAAGGGACTTGAGCATCGTGGATTTTGGAATCCTCGGGGTCCTGGAACCAATCCCCTTGTTACCAAGGGATGACCATACACGTGCACCGATTTTGCTTCTGGCTCTGAGCTCAGTGCCTAAACATAATCTCCCGGCATTGGGCTGGTCCTTTCCAGATAGGGGATGAGGGCCAAATAAAAAGGCAAAGGAAAGGAGTCTGATGAAACAACGACCCAAAGAGCCACTTTTCAGGTCCTGACGCAGCTGCTTCTCTACTCACCATGTTGCCCAGCCCACAATTTAAACTGCTGCTGTAATCAGGCCATGGGAAGATCAATAAGCAAGATAGAATGGTGTTTCTTTGCCATCAGCTTAGAGGTGAGTGGTCCAGGCTGATGGGGAATCTGCTCCAGGACAAAGTGCCTTTTGCTGCCCTTTCTCAGGGGGTGGTCTTTGTGTACCCAGTTAAAGTCTGGCTGCCAAAAGGCAAAGTGAAAACATGAAAGGCAAGCAGTTTTCTTTTAAGCAAGTGACATAGGTGCTGCACCCATCACTTCAATTCACGTTTCATTGGCAAGCACTTGGCCTCGTAGTCTCTCCTAACTATGAGGAGTCCAAATGTAGAAATGCAGTCTCTTGGTGAGTTATCTTACACCTACCTAAAATTCTATCTTGAAGAAAGCAAAGGATAAATTTGGGAGAACAATCATCAATGTGCTGAACTCTGCAGTTTTTCTTCTCATCCCGAGTCAGGTAGCCATGACTTGGATCATGAATTCGATTCCTGTAAAGGGGCCCCTTTCCTCCTTGGCCCACTGCATATCTGGAGCTAAACACTCAGATTACTCAGAACATCCAAATAAAACAAAGAGGGGACAAAACATCAGTCAGATTGTTAGTATCAGTCCTGTCGGGAAGCCTGTGGTATTTATAGTGTGCTTCCAAAGGAACCACCCCGTTCTGCATCTGCTCGTTTAATTCAGGTCAGATTCCTTGATCTCTAGGTTTTTTAATGCCCATCTGTAAAGTGCTCTTTTTGTCATTTCCCTGTCTCTGCTTCCCTGCTGAGTTACCAGTGCCATAAACTAGCTCGTGTTGGTGACACTTGATGTCTGAAAGTGCTTTACTTATTTAATATAATGATGACATTTGGCTTTTTGCAGACTGCCCACCATCTATACTGAAATTTTCATAAGGGATGAGAAATCTAGATGGACAATAAGCTCAATTAGCTTGAGTTAAATGTTTTACAGTCTAGGTTTTGTGTTCTGAACACATGCAGCCCAGTGTTCCACAACCACTCCAGCCACAACTGTGGTGCCACGGTTCAATAGGCCATTAGAGTATCACCTTAAACTATGACCTTTTGATAGTAGAGGCTTAATTTTACCCATCACATGCATCACCACATACTTGACGTCTGACATGTGGTAGAAATCGATGTCCATGTCTAGACTTTTTTTAAAAAATTTCATAGCTTTTTGAGGAACAGGTGGTATTTGGTTACATGAGTAAGTTCTCTAGTGGTGATCTGTGAGATTTTGGTGCACCCATCACCTAAACAGTATATACCGAACCCAATGTGTAGTCTTTTATCTCTCTCCTCCCTCCCATCCTTTCCCCTGAGTCCTCAAAGTCCACTGTGAAATTCTTATGCCTTTGCATCCTCACAGCTTAGCTCCCACTTACAGGTGAGAAGGTGAGAACACACAATGTTTTTTGGTTTTCCATTCCTGAGTTACTTTATGAAGAATATTACT